AAACTCGACCTGTTGTACTGGCAACTACATCAATCAAAATCTGCCTAGATAATCGTATCCAAGACTAGACTTCAATATTTCTGCGTAAAAAATTCTGTTTGATTAGTAACGACATGATTACTCGAATTAAAAATACAATCACACGAATCTCGCCCTTTACAGTAATGTCTAGTCTTCAGAATGCCCGTTGATGACAAAAACTAACGAAAATNGAACTGCCACTTGAAATTTTGCTATGATCCGTCTAATTATGGAATCAAAGGACCAGTAATACTGCAGGAACAGCACTTCGCTCTACTTTGTCAGCTCCTAAACAAACATTACCCTCAACGCCTCATGATTTTGAACTTAGTTATCATAATCCAACAATAGGAGACTTTCCGAAGCAGCTGAGGTCTTCAAAATTCATTGTTGAGCTGTCTAGCAACGTAAAGCTTGTATGTATACGACTCCTTCGAGAGTAAGGTTGAAATGCAGTTCATATCACCCCAGTGCAGAAAGCATCACCTGGTTCTTTGGTGCTCGAGTTGATAGGTTATCAGTGTTTCGTGATGTTGGGGCTGTTAATGTGACTAATCGAACGGAAGTCAATGACTGCTGTGAGTCACCCAGACGCTGAAGTGGTCGCCTAGCGATAAAGCAGGACCGGCACAATCTATCTGCAGGTGTGGTGATTTCGATATCATCAGAAGTTCTGGCAAGCTCAGCCTTTTCAGCTTGAAAGGCTCAAAGCAGTTAAAGTGACAGGGACAAAAAAGATGTAACCAAGAAGAAGTATCAATGGAAAATAGAATTACTGAGGACAGCAATCTGAGCACAATATGATAGGCCCATACTGCAACTGATCATTGTAGTTTGGTGCTGGTAGCTGACATTTTCTGTGGATATCCACTAAATGAAGGCAGTTCTGACTGATCGGACCCGTGCTTTTAACCTTTTGGGGTCGTTTTTAGCTTCTACACTGAAAATATGTGCGGCTTGGTGTAGATTGATAAGTTAGAGCCATTACTTCAGATTGATATTCGATACTCCAGTAGTGGTTCGTGAGCCTCGCAGTTGTCGAGGCCAGTGAGGCATCCTTTCGGCTGGAGAAAAACTTCCTTTTTCAGTCGTGTAAAGACACTCGAACTCCATAGACCATTCATTTTCGATCGTGGCAATGATATGCAGGAGCTATCGGGCCGCCGAGTCCTCTTGGGGGCAGTAGATAAGTTATCTAAGATTGATGCATTGAGTATAAAACTTGGACCGATCAAAAAGTTCTCACGTCGGTAGCAGCATAGCCAAAAATCTTAGTAAACTATGCTTATTAGGCCCCTCGCAGCATCTTTTCATTGTATATTTCTAGCCTTTTCGTCTTCTCTTCCTAATAGTTCCTAAAAAATGTCTCCCACGATGAGGGAACATCAGTTCCTTATTTCTGGAAAGTCCTCGATATCATGGGAACTTCATACTAAATGTCTTCTGGCTCAGATATGCTGAAAATCGTAGCACTCGCCACATGTTTGGTGATGAACTGTAACGCCAGCCCAATTTTGGAGCCCATGAAGATCGATCAGGACGATGCTTCAGAACTGGTAGGGCAATTGCCCTGTGAAGAATCGTAGTGCCATATTGCTTCCACCTCCATTCTCCTGATATTTTCCAGGCTAGTATTGCGTACGCTGTCGACCTGTCCGTTTTAGCTTCGACAGCCACATATCAATGCATGAAACAAAGTCTGTACAACGTCGCTTTCATCAGGTCAGTGTTTCCTTTCAGTTGTTCAGAACTTTTTTCTTCTTAAGAAAAGGCATCGCTCTCAAAACTCAGAGCATCCGATGATCAGGATTTTTGGTGACAGGATTGCATGTCGTGTTTACACGTCCCTTAGCTCTATTCCCATCAACACGGCTTGGAGCCGAGATCTGGTGTTCCCGGATGGTGCCTTACCTGCACATACGTTTCTTGAGGGGTGGGGGGNGGGGGGATGCAACTAATTGCGGCACGGCCAGGAAAAGTAGAGTTCAATAATAACTCTATTTTTCCTAGCCGTGCATATTTATAAATAAATAAATAAATAACTCGCAGTTGTACTAGTTCTTCTTTTCAAGATATTAGAGTCAGATGGGTCTTGAAAATCTTGACATTTTTGAAAGTGGTAATATATAATAAATACCATTTTGAAGCATAAGGATCGTTCATTTCTGTGCACTGGAAGTGGAGGACAGTTTGAAGCCAAAAGTTCCCATAGAAGGTTGGATATATTCGTATATTACAGAGGTTATACTGGAGCTTATCAAGGTCAGATCGATCCCTACTCCGTCATGAACATTCAGAATGCTGCTGCTGGTGAGCTATAAAATTTGGAAAGACAGTAGTACCTGTTAACAATCTCATCCAAAAATCATTCGGTGTTGTCCAACTCATCTTTCTTAGACATTATGAATCGAATGTTTTCAGCTGGTCTTGGCACTGAGGTTTATATGACTCCTCAACCGCTCTCTTCGAAAACTGGTGCTCAACAGTTTGATGAGATGTATAATATGCTAATTGGAGCCAATATCTATGTTAAATCTATATGGGTTCAGGTAAGATGGGGAGCCTCTAAAACTATGCGCATCGCCTTCAACCATTCAGGGTATTNATTAAGAAAAACCCCCAGAAATTAGAAATTCTAACTCGAGGATCCTAATTTTCTGGATAATTCAAGAAAATATTAATCTCCTGACGTTGTTGCCTTGCAAATGTGCCATACAATGGAACATTTTGGTCTGTTCCATCCAGAGGTTAGACAAAACACAGTCGTCGTTAAAAAATCGAGGAACCGCTAGAAAAATAGAGTTTTTGGAAGTCACCTACAGGGCTTATGTATCGATGAGTAGAAGAAGTTCTTTTTCGAAACTGCTGATCCCAGAAGAATTTACAGTATCCAACAGACATATGCATATTGCATACAGTACATACATTTCAGGTAACATCACCCAATAACTGGTCGACATCTAGCTCTATGAATGTCAACTTCCTCAATAGCATTCTTGCAGAAGCTCTTGTAAGTAGAACAGCAAAGTGACAGCGAAACTAGAATGATAGGTCTTCATTACAGCAATACGGCCTTAATATTGGGATCTATACGAACAGTGATGAATGGAAACAAATCGTCGGTGGAGCCACTACCAGAAATGTCAACCTCTGGTAAGAGCTTCGGGTTATTTCATCTCACACCAGTTGCATCTTCTCTTACTTTGAGATATGGGAGTGGGGGGACTTGAAGGTGGAGTCCCTTTTACCACTGCACACTACCCACAGATCAGTTATCCACTGAAGAGAAGCGAAGGTACAGTAGGTCGGGTAACGTTGCCCATTTCCACTACCCTACACCAATGTATGAATATTTTTT